TTAACCTACGTCTAAATCATTCTATTACAAATCTATCTTATTGAAATATGTTTTTTTATAACCTATTAAGTTACATTCTGGAACAAAGATGAAAAAAGGGAAATGAATGTTGTCTTCTCATGGCTTGTAAACTTCTAACGATATGACTCAAATTATAGTATGCACTTGACTCAAGTCGTGGGCTTGAATAGTGATTCAAATCATAATCTCAAAATTCCAAATTTCCACCTTAGATTTAAATAGTTGTTTCTTGAATCAAAAAACATGAATCTCTCACCATGAATTTTTTTATAATGAAAGAAAGATGAAACTCTTGTTAGACAAAAAAACTTAATTTGTCTTCTCTTCTCTAGTTTGTCTATTCCTACCGCCCTTATATTTTTCTCTTATTTGAAGAATAACTTCTTGATTGTAATTTATGTTAAATTACATCTCCTTTTTATCACACATTGAGTATGTAATTTGTTATTGAGAAAAACCATAGAAAGATAGTTGATCAATCTTGCAATGATTCAATTTTGATCAAGCTTATGATAATCAACAAGAACTAAGGCCCATTTATCTAGAAACTTGAGGAATCATTGTGTGTGTGTTCTTCATTCACAAACATCTGATTCCTTGTTGATATCTTATGAATTAGAGAGCGTGTTTGTTTGATTCTTTTGACATTGTTCATCATCTTCAACCTTAGTTCTAATCCATTGTTCTAGACCTTCATCTCTAAAGATTGAGTGTTTGAGGGAAACTAGTAGTACATTAGGGTATCTAATGTTTTTGTGTGAAGTTTGGTGTTTGTAATAGGTGCATGGCAGCATGGATTGTTTCTTGAATATGGTTTCAAAGTTGTTTTATCTATCAAGAGAAGAGTTTTACCATACTCCATGAAATACTTTTGCAAAGTCGAGTAACAATGGTTCGTAAGACAAGGTTGGGAGTTGTCCAACTTTGGTGAAATTGTAAAGACTGTTCATAGACGAAGTTGGGAGTTGTCCAATTGAATGCTTAATGGCAATTTCTCAGACAAAAAAGCAGTGGGATCAAGGTGAATTTCCACATACGAATACTTGAAGCATGTTATTATGAATAGCAAGATTATTGGATCAAGACTGTTGAGGATCCTCTTTTTGTTAGCAGTTTGAGTATCTGCATCAATAGATGAAATTTGTTGGTGTATGCTCTAGAAGCCAATACTTTTGGTACTTGTATTGAATTATCTATTTATAATAAAAGGAATTTATTTATCATGTTTTTTTTCTAAAATAATAAAGTCCCTAGAATAGTTAGTATGTTTAACGAAATGTTAAGTGTGACTTAATCATGAGATTTCATTAAACATAAGGACATTATTCTTAATGTATCCATAGTCGAGCTTTGTTATGAAGTGGGATAACATTAAAACATTGAGGCTATTATGTAGATAGACTGATGATCACATATCATGGATCATGGATAAATAGTTATCAAGTCTTGACATAGGTATGAATATTAGAAGTAATATTTATACTATATTGACCCGCTATGAGAATACTACATAGAATGTTATGCAAAGTGTCATAAGTTATTCTCATGGTGATAATAGTGTATACCATCCTTTGACATGAAATCACTATGGACCTTAGATGTAGAGTCAAGTGCTTTATTATCGATCAAACATTATCCATAACTGGATGACTATAAAGACAGTTGATGGGTACTTCACAAAGCATATTGAGGGATATGAGTGTCCTAGATGGAATTTTCCCATCCTGTGTAACAAAATAAATGTCTAAGGGTCCAATATTGAATTGGACAAGAGTGACACGGTCTATGTCTTGTGTTCAATATAGACATAAGGGCAAAAGGGTAATTTTACACACAAGTATTATCACATAAAGGTTTTGTCATATCACATGACATTTTCGTAGCTTGGGTAGCAGTGATGTGTTGTTAGATGTCGCTTATTGTTTATTATGTTAAATATGTGATTTAGTGTAATTATCAACATCGCCAAAACCTACAGGGCCACACACATAAGGACAGAATGATGAGAGATAGAATAAATAAGGAACACCGTAAGGTAAAATACACTTAAGTGAATTATAGAACACCGTAAGGTACAATACGCTTAAGTGGAATACAGAATCTGGTAAGATATCACACGCTTAAGTGATATACGATACATCATAAAGTATGATGCCCATGAACTTAAGTGGGCTTTTAGCTTCCATCCCACACAAGTGGTTCTATAAATATAACCCTTGTGCAAAAGAATTTGACTTGGTGAAAATTCGGTCTGTGAAACCCTAGCCGTATTTTCTCTTACTCTTTCACTCAAAGCTTTCATTCGTAGCAGCTAGCACTGAGATTGGACACGACCTGTTCGTGTGGACTGAGTAGAGGCGTTGGTCTTCATCAACGCTCGTGATCACTCCTTCGATTCTGCATCAAAGATCTAAACCGCCACAAGAGGTAATAGTTTTGATCACTGACCATGCTCATTCGTAAGGATCACTAAAGGAAGAAAAAAATTTCCGCTGCGTCTTATGTCGCGATTTTCCTTCAAAATTATCGTGTGATATTTTATTGTAATCAAAATGCTTGTATCAAACTTATGAAATAGTGGAAGATCATGATTATTTTACAATGGTTTTAACACCATTAAAGAGTAGAGTGGGCAAAACGAGAATGAGCGTCAAACCACTATATATCTCAGTGTACTTTTTTCTTCCCATATCTCCTTTAATTTTCTCTATCCATTACTATAGTTGTTGCATCATTGCATCGTTTGTATATCATTTAGATTAGATCTTTCTTATAGTGATTTAATGTGTAAGCCTAGGTATGTGATGCATTAAATCTATTGGATCATCATAACTTCGATTATGCTTTGAATGAAGTTCTATGTAAAAGTTTTTAAATCACTTTTTTTAAAGCAACTTTGATTATCTTGTAATCGATTTGCGTTAGAGATAATCATGCCTTTAGTTCATTGAGAAGCATCCTAGCTCTTTTGGTATTGTGTTTTGTTTTTGCGTATTTTAAAATCTCTAATTTTGTTTTATGAGACCTAAAATATTTTTGAAATTGTCTCTTTAGAAATAGGTCTATTGAACTCCCTTCTAGACCTTTTGCATTCATATTCTCACCCAACACATGCTCACATGTAATTTCATACTCCACTTGGATTTCGGAATCATAGCCTCTAAGAAAGCTCTCACATCTGCATGCCAAAGGACATTCTTCATTGCCAATTTTGATCTAGTAGTCTTGTAAAGAGTTCATTATCGTTCAAATATGATTTTCAAACTAACAAAAGAATTTAACTAGTCCGAACAATAACGATAAAGAGAGAAGAGGAGGAGCCTTACGAGCCACAATATCTTCAACATTCCATCTTTTTCACAAGGGTCAAGTGATACACAGTACTCAGATGTTTTTCTTTTAGAAAAGTCAAAGAAACCTGACAGATAGTTAACATTGATGTTTCTCTTTTAGAAAAATCAAATAATTTTGATAAATCATTATCAAAATACAAACATTCAAATAATTTGAATGAATTTTTTTTAATAAAATGTTTAACACTTTATACTTTTCTTTTTGAATTTTTTTTTTTGACAAAAAAGAATACTTTAAAAGTTATATATATTTTTACTAAAAATTAAAGTGTTGAAAATAATAAGTCAAATGTGAGTTGGAGTTCCACATTAACTATAAATATAAAGATTTAAATATTTATAAGTAGAAAATCTCACACATATATTATCTTAAAATTTTAAATGACTATATAATATATCTCTCACTTGTGCGTTTTGTGTGTTGCTCTTTATCAAGATTAAATAATCTTCCTCATGAACTAACATAAATTATGGAGATTAAAAATAATGTTTTGTAAATGAAGTTCCTTATGTGGTCATAGACATGTTATTTGTTCCTACGATGTTTTGTTGAAAAAACGGTGGATATTAGAGTCAAGTTGTCTGTCCATATCGTGGGATGGTTGGACTAAACCTTCTTTGCGTGATATTTTGGTGGAAGAAAGTAAACAAAAGTTATAGAGAGGCAGGACCTAAAAAGTTTGATTTATTGAGGTAGCATCGATGTGTACTTTGTGGTGGAAATTTCTGTGAGCATCAAAGATATTTTTATGCTCTCCTTGGAATTTTTCTCATTTGTACAAGTGGAAATGGCACAATACGTTATTGTCCACCCACCTAACACTTTTATTAAAACAAAAAAAAATATTATAACTAAATTTCTTTTAAAATGTGTGTCACTGTGTACAAATAAATAATATTTTAATCTTTTATAATATGAATTTTTTATAGAAATTATGAATGAATATAATCGTGTAAAAAGTTGAAAGTTTCAAGGACATTCGTGTGTAACAACAGATCCGTGATTGTTTCTAGAAACACATATAATATAATTTTACATTTAGTTATTTATTTATTTTCCTCTGGTCAATGTGTGACACTGTTATTTGTTTTTATTATTTGGAAAATTACTTTACAAGTCTTTCACACACGACACATGCACTTCCTCTTTCTTTCCTCACTATTTGTCTTCAATCTCACATTACTCTCTTCTTCTGATGCTTACAGGTTCTCTTCTATCTTCCAATTACTTTCCTTTTTTTTTTCAGTTACAAACTTTACGATTTTTGCGTTAGAATTGGTAACTATATTATGAAACATAGAATTCTATACTTTTTTTTTTCATTTTTTTTTATGGATTGTTATTATAATTGAAAAAAAATACTACGTTTCATTGATTATATTTCAGAAGTGATGATAAGAGATTTAAAAAATTGAAAAGAAAATAATAATTAAATATTAATCTTTCCTGGAATTTTGGATTATTCTGTTATGTGATCTATGATATGAGTTTCTTCAGAATTTGGTATATTTATCCTTGTTTTGTTTCTCTTGTTATTGAGATAGGATTTGGTTGTGAAAACTGAGAAGAAGTTATATACATATATATAAGAAGTGGTTTACAAGTTGAAGGAATTTTCAGTTGCCATGTTTAATCTCTGGGGGAGTTCTCAACAAGATCAACAGACCAAAGATGCTCAAGCTGAATCCAAGGTAAAATGTTTCTGCGCCGACGACGAAGAAATTGATTCTGGTTAAAATTGAGTTGAATAGAAATTGATTTCCATTTTGGATGTACTATTTGTATAAATGCGAGTTGAGTAATAAATCCGTGTTTGTAGAGGCAAAAACTCCGAATCTTTACTTAAGTTAGAATCGATTCTGAAGAGAGAATAATTTTCTCCAAAATATTGAAACATGTCATCAAAATGAATTTCGAATTATGGTTCTGATTTTCTGATTTACAACCAGATAAATGAGCTCAAGGTTGCAATTGGACCTTTATCAGGAAACAAATTGAAGTACTGCAATGATGCTTGTTTGAGGCGATACCTAGACGCTCGCAACTGGAATGTTGACAAGTCGAAAAAGATGTTGGAAGACACACTTAAGTGGAGATCAGTCTATAAGCCCGAGAAAATCCGCTGGGTATGTTGTGTTTTGGTTTTATTTTTTGATGATTTTCGTGCACGAGTGTTGTCTGAAATGATTCAAGGTGATGTATATCATGATTCAGGACGAGGTTGCAGAGGAAGGGGAGACAGGGAAAGTTTATAGAGCGGGTTTTCATGACAGACATGGAAGAACTGTTCTTATTTTGAGACCTGGAATGCAGGTATGATCGGTTTGAGATATTTGGTTTCACTTTCGGACAGTTTGGATTAACTTATGGGAACTTATCTACTGACATAAGTACACTGTTTGAAAGAGCTATGAAAATAGCTTATGACATGTTCATAATTTGTTTTCAGCTTATGTTATACGTGTCTAATTAATCTGTTTAGCCAAACAAGTGATCTACAATTTTCTAATTAAGTGTCTAGAAATTGAATGTTTGATGTTTATGCAGAACACTTCTTCATTGGACAATCAGATTAAGCATCTTGTGTATCTTTTGGAAAATGCTATGCTTAATCTTCCACCAGGTCAAGAACAAATGGCTTGGTTGATAGACTTCACTGGGTGGTCAATAACCAACAACGTGCCACTCAAATCCGCTAGAGAGACTATCAGTATTCTACAGAATCACTATCCTGAGAGGCTTGGAATAGCTTTTCTTTATAACCCTCCTCGAATTTTCGAAGCTTTTTGGAAGGTTTGTTGTCTTTCTCCTCCATAGCTACTCCTACTGATATCATTGAATTTCGGATCCAAATTCGCTGCAATCAGGAATCACACATTTGATGCAGTCACGCGATTTGGACCATTGAATCAATGATTCAATACTAGACTGTCCACGTTTCGACTTCACTAAATTTGGTCCAAAACACAAAGCCAAGACATGGACCGATCAACCATGATCTGGGGGAATCACACATTTGATGCGGTCATATGATTTGGACCGTCGAATCAAGATTAGACAAGCCCATGTTCCAACTTTAGTAAATTTGGTCCAAAACACAATGCCTTGACGTGGACTTCTGATTCTGATTTGAGAGAATCACATGTTTGATGTTGTCACGTGATTTGGACTTCTGAATCAAGATTAGACAATCCACATCTCGACTTTGGTAAATTTGGTCCAAAGCTCAAAGTCAAGACGTAGACTGTCCACCCTTGATCCGAGGGAATGACACATTTGATGCAATCACGTGATTTGGACAATGGACCGTCTAATGAATATTAGAGAGTCCACATTTCAACATAGGCAAATGTGTAACTGCATAATTTCGTGAAAGTATCTTTAAATATAACACTGATTCCGTTGCATTTTAGTATCAAAGCTGAAGATTGTACTTGTTTTTATGCAGATAGTGAAGTATTTCTTGGATAGCAAGACATTTCAGAAGGTGAAATTTGTGTATCCGAAGAATAAAGATAGCGTGGAGCTCATGAAATCTTATTTTGATGAGGAAAATCTTCCAAGTGAACTAGGTGGAAAAAGCATACTGAACTATAACCATGAGGAATTCTCAAAATTAATGACTCAAGATGATTTAAAATGTGCAGACTTTTGGGGTTCTGAAGAAAAACTCTCAAACCACATGCATTGTGCAGCAGAAGTTGCTCCAGAAGTTGCTATCTGAGGAACTTAACCTTGTTTTGACTTAGTAAAGATATAAGTACTAGTATAATCATAAAACTATTAGCTCTAGGCAAATTAAGATTAAGGAGATTTATGATGCATTATCCTTTGTTTACAATATTACTTGCTACTTTGCTAGTAGATTAGCTCAAGCTGAGGAACTTTTGAAAATATGGGAATGGCAATATTGCTTATTAAATATTAAAACTACTACGTCATGTTTGGATAAACCAATGTATCTTCTTTACACAATTGCAGAAACTAATTTCTCAAGATAATAAGATCCATTTAAGGGATTCTCATTACTTACTATGAAACTTAAGAGGGATAAAGTATTAGAATTAACAAAAAGAAAGAACAAGATTGTGAAAAAAATGAAAGGGAACTAGCAAGTTTTCCACAGATAAGTAGTTGCCTTTTATTCTTATGTCTAGAAATCAAACTCAGTACTTTTAGATTTACAATATTTGCACACACTCTGCACACAAACCATTTACAAAAGAGGTTATATGAACTTCCTCTTGAAATTTCGAGTAGTTGTTCGGTAAGAGCGCGCTAAAAGACTGACTCCTATGCCAACTCCTACACAGATGCCAAGTCCAATTCCAACACCAACTCTTACTCCAGCATTGAACCATGATAGCTCACCACCATCTTCCATGTCCATGTATGCTGTTCTTTGCCAATACATGTTATTGTAATCCTCTTCTTTTTCTGGTTTGAAGCTTCTGTACTCAGCTCCCTATAAACCAAACCAAATCAATGAATAACGCAACTTTAACCAAAAGCTAACTGCATGTTCAGTATCTCATGTATTAGTGTTATGAAACACTAACACAGACACGTCAACATTTGTAAAAGTTTGAAAAATTGAATTAGTTGAATGTAATCACATGTATAAGTGTTGTGTCGGTGTAATACACCGACACCTGTGGTATATCGAAGACGCCTTCCATCAAAAGTGTTGGTGCTATAGAGTTGATAACTAGATACATAATTTGTATTATTTACAAAATTTGCATAGCCAAAGAAACAACCATATCACATGATGAAAATTATAATATCTCTAATAGACCAAACAGAAAATTCTGATTGTTGCAAATTAAAAGCAATTCTGTTGTGCAAACTTACCTGCAAATCAAGTCCATGATGATCATGATCATCAGAAACATCTTTCTTGTACTCAGTTGTTTCGTATTCCGGAATCACATCCAACATACCCAAATTCCTATTCTGCTTCTTCCTACAATTGAACTGCAGTGTCCTAGTTAAGATTATAGGTGTTCCTAAGAAACAACCAGCAACATAAACCTCAATTTCAGGAACACAAACATTTTTTCCTTTGAAAAAACCACTATTAGGTTTCATTTCTGTTTCACAATTCATACTCCAAAATCTCTTATTCATCTCAAGAACACATGAGAGAATACATTGATCTTCATCACAAATCTCAAACTTCATACTGCCATTTAATCTTATACTATCTGTATTCACAAAAGTGACTTGTTCAGATTTCTTATCAATTCTATCCCTTCTTAGAATCGAAGAATCTTCATCATTGTTCATGTTACTTCGAACACCGTTTATTTCTAAAAGCGTATCGGGACTTAAAGGTACATGATGAAGATATAGAAATTGCGATGTTGATTCATCATTCACTTGAATTCCACTTACTCTTACATAAAAAACTCTTACATCAAACCAAGGTAATGATGAAAATGATGACAATTTCATGCATGATGATTTATCATAAGGCGAAGAATTTTCAATTATTTGTGTCGATTCTCCTCCATTACATGATGAAACATCATAAGACCCTTCCATCTTCATATCCAAAATCATTGAAACCTTGAATCCCTCATATTTTTTTCTAATCAAAACCTGTTTCACAATCAACCAATCAGTTAAAGGATCACAAACGTTATATATTGTAGAAATCAAACAAAAAAATGAAATCTAAATGGAAGTGGAATTTCTAAAGTCACCAAATAAAAACGGAAATTTAATTTCTATAATTAGAATGGATTAAGGTTGATAAAGTATATGAAAGTGAAGAGTATATTAATTTAAGTACCGATTAATAAACACTTCATATAGTAATAATTAGGAGAAAAAATTGAGTGTTTGTCACCACAAACAAATATAAATTCCTATATTTCTGGAAATAAACTATAACCATGAAAACTAAACTGTTGGTTGATGTACACTCTTTGATTATGATATGTTTTCTTATCTATCTTTTATCACAACCACGCATGCTTCTATGATATCAAATTCTTAATCTAAAGTGGGTTTTAGATCTTAGTCCACATAATATTTTTTATTAATTAATGTTTGTACAATTAAGTTCTGCCACGTGGTTGTTGCAGGCTGGCAACAATATAAACGATATACGTGTTTTTCTAAAGTAAGCATAGTAGTATAATTTAATAATTAACATAAAAAATAGGTACATTTAAGAAAGCATATACTTGTAGGATCATTTTAAGGATCTAAAAAATAGAAGGCATGTTGTTTTTAATTTTTTGTGTGTGTGCTCTAATAGTAAGAAGGAATGTGTCTGATCCTATGAAGATAAATACGGTTTTGAGATTGAAAAAAAAAAGCCCTTGAAAACTTGAGGAATTATCATCTCACTCCTGGTTATATATGATACCCATATTATGTTTTTATTATTATATTTTTATGAATAATTATCAAATTTCAAAAAAATATAAATTTTATCGTACCGGAAATTTCAAGAAAATTCTGTTTTTTTTTTTAAAATTTTTAGAAAAAAAATTCAGAAAAACATGAGGAAATTTCTAGAGGTGTATCAAAAATTTTAAGAAAATTCTATTTTCTTTTTAATTTTCGGAAATTTTTTTCAAAGTTTCAATATAATACCGAAAATTTTGGTATATTTCAAAAAAAAGATTACAAGAAAAAATGTAAATTTTGAAAAATACTGGATTTTTTCGAAATTTTTGAGAAAAATACTAAATTTTTTGAAAAAATACCAGAATTTTAAAAATCCGATAGTTTTTTAAAATTTTAATTTTTTCAATAATGGAAATTTCAATATATTTGAAATTTTCAGTATCATATCAGAAATTTTAAATATATTGAAATTTTTGATATGGAAAGTTTTTTCTTTTTTTAAAAAAATTTATTGAAAAATTTACTGTTCTAGACTGGGTCTGTCCGCGGTCCAATTATCAGCGAAGCCTAGTCCAAGCTTTACAATATACCATGCTGAGTATTAGAATCCCCGACACGCCTCGATCATGAGCGTCGTCGAACACAATTGTGCCCGCCACTGACCGTGACGCTTGTCCCCGACAAGGGACATACAAGGCGAGGAACGCCTCAATCCAGGACTTGCTCGGACACACTCCTCGTAGGGCAGACTCGACCTCTCCTAATATCTCGGAGCCCTCAGGGTCCCGAGAAGACCGCGTCTTCACCTCCCTATTTCTGCGGAGAGCATCATCCAGGTAGGGGACCACGTGCAGGTCCCCACTACTCCACGTGGAACTTGGCAGTCCCTTTGTTGGGCTTGTTTGGTCAGCCCAATGAAGGGACCTTGGCCCAGCGCTGGGGGCTATAAATACCCTCTGTTTCAAGAGGGTCAGGTATTCATTCATTCACGCCTATATACAATTCTCCTGCTCATTATGTCTCTCACTTTATCATCGGAGTGTCTTGCAGGTACCCCCCACCTCCTTCAAATTCAGTTCGAGCCAACTATGATGGTCAAACTCTGATCAGGTACGATCAGTGGCGCCGTCTATGGGAATCTAAGCTCCCCCGTCTTACAAACTCGCGAAGACAAAATCTAAAACCATCCTCGACCGTCATGGCTGACCAGATTCAGGACAACCAGAACGTCCACGTCGTTGAAGCTAACAACAACCTCGCCGATAAAAACGGTGGCCCCGACAACGCCGATAACACCGGCCATAATATACTCCCCGGGGGCGCCATCCCCGGGCCCTCTAACTACCGGGACGGAGCCACGACTTCATCTTCCTCAGTCCCTCCTCGGCTCGAAGAAGACAATCCGGTTCCCCCGAACTATCTAGCCGCCCAATTCCATGAGGTTCCTGTCCCCGCCGGGGCAGATGCCACGACTAGGGCACTGTTCACGGCAATCAACCAGACCAACTACCTCATCTTTGCCCAAAGGGAAAGACTGAGGGCGCTAGAGGACGACAGAAGTCCCCCGAGGAGACACATGAGGCCTCAATCCCCACCTCCTCGAAGAACGGAGGAACGTCCCTGATCTCCCCCGCGGAGACAGGATCGGGACACCTCTCGAAGCCCGTCGCCCCGACAACCCGGGCGACGACCCGCCTTGGAGAGAGAACCACTCATTGAGACCGGAAGGCGCGACCTTGGCCCTTCACGGCAAGAACGAAGACCTCCCAGAGACAGACACGGAGGAACCTATCAACGGACACATCGCTCGAGGAACGTCCAGCACGACCAGAGCCATCGTGACCGACAATACATCAGGTCCCCGTCCCGCTCCCCGGAACGAAGTGATGAGGACGACCCCTGCGGTCCCCTATCACAAGCTATCATGGAGGTGCCCATTCCCCCCGGCATGGAGAATCCTCCACATCTGAAAGAATATGACAGAGTCGCCGACCCAGTCGATCACATAGACGGGTTCGAGGCAATACTGCACTACCACAACGTTGGGGGACCAATTAAATGCCGACTATTCCCCACGACCCTGAGGAAAGAAGCTATGGACTGGTACAAGGGTCTCGCCCCGGGGTCAATTACCTTGTGGCGAAACTTGAAGAACCAATTCATTAGCTCATTCACTGCGTCTCGGCGACATCCGAAGACCGAAGTGGCGCTCGAGGCCATCGTCCAGAGACAGGATGAGACCTTGAGAGAGTTCATCAACCGCTTCAACTGGGAATCCATCCAGGTCCCTTGCATGGAACATATGAAGAGATACCTGCTGGAGAAGGGCCTTCTCCCCGACACAGAATTCAGGAAGGTTGTGGGCATCGAACCACCCCGAACGTTTGATGCTGTCCTCGAGAAGGCCAGGGCCTACATGAACTACAAGGAGAGGGAAGCGGCCAACAGAGCCCGAGACCCCAGGAATCGCGGATCCAGCAGCAACCCGCGCCAAGAGTCCATCCCTCCTCGACGAGCCTGGGAAAAAAGAAAAGACGACAAACCCCGGGACATCCGAGAACAGAGGGGGCCTTCGGGGCATTTCAAGAGTACACTCCGCTCATGGCTTCCCGCGAGCGCATCTTAGCGGAGTGTGCAAGTACGGACTTCAAAGATGGCAGCGTCAAGCATCCCCGACCAACTCCTTCCAAACCCGGGGTGGATAGGAGCAAATACTGTTAGTACCACAGGAGTCATGGCCATCTGACTGAAGATTGCGTCCACCTCAAGGATACCATCGAGACCCTCATAAAAGGGGGGGGGGGGGGGGGACTCGCCCAGTACCGACGAAACGACGCTCCTCGTCGCGATGCCCGCGAGACAAGAGAAGTGGAAGAGGATGCCCGACCATTTGACGAGTCGGTCCCCATCCAAACAGCCTTCTCCGTCACAAGACCTGAGGACTTCTACGTTCCTGACTACATGCAAGAACCATTGTCAATGCACAGCAGGTGGGAGCACTTTCCCTCTGCCATGGTCATCAATGGTGGAGGTTTCAATGACCTGACCGTAAATTTGGCCAAGAGGAAGCTGGACGAGTTGGTTTACACGGCCCCCTCTCAAACGGTGACTTTCGAAAAGGTGAAGAGTAGGTCAGAACCTATCACCTTTTATCTCGAAGAGCTCCCCGGAGGGGCCCCTAATTCGGCCATTCCTCTGCTGATAAGAGCGAGGATGGCCAACTTTGACATACACCTGTCCTCTTCGATGAAGGAAGTTTTGTCGACATAATATACAACCAATTGTTTCGAACCCTGCAGCTCGACGACTCTCACCTCTCACCTTACGTGGGGTCAGACCTACAGGGCTTTAACTGCTCAACTTCCAAGCCTTGGGGATACGTCGAGCTCATGGTCACATTTAGCGAGGATACGGCAACGAGTCAAGTCAAGGTGCGCTTCCTCGTCATTGATTGCCCATCCCTCTACAACTGCATCCTGGGAAGGCCGACATTGGCGGAGCTGACCGCAGTACCCTCTACCGTTCATCTGAAAATGAAGTTTTATACCAAGAGGGCACGGGTCGCCACCATCCAAGGGGACCTAGCAGCTTCCCGAAGGTGTTTTAACGCGGCTTCCAAGGGACGCGATACGGTGGGCACCAGCACAAGGCCCGCCAAGAGAGCTGTGACGACACGACCAGAGCCTCAGAGGACAAAGCTCGTCAAGGAAGAAGAGCAGAGAACCCCTCCAGAGGTCGAATCAATATCCCTGGACACTCGCTTCGACCAGGACAAACCTCCCAGCGGCGAGCAAATCCCCCTCCGACCAATTCCGGATGGGGACTTTGAACTCGTCCCCTTCGGAGAGGATCCAAGCAGAGGAGTGAAGATCGGCACCGGACTCCCCGACTTAGCAAGGAAGCAAATAAAAGCTTGTTTGCGCGAGAATGCGGACCTGTTCGTGTGGAGCGCTACGGAAATGCCCGGACTCGACCTCGAGGTCTCCTGTCACCGTCTTGCCATAAACCCCGCCGCTAGGGCAGTAGTACAACATAGACGTAGGCAGTCTCCGGAGAAAACAGATGCTGCTGAAAAAGCTGTAAAAGACCTCCTAGAGGCAAATTTTATTTCTGAAGCCCGGTATTTAACCTGGCTGTCAAATGTTGTACTTGTCAAGAAAAATAATGGAAAGTGGCGAATGTGC